AAAAAAAACACATTTTGCTACTTAGTAGAAAAAATCTATTGTAAAAACAACATAACAGAGCAGATCCTTCATTAAAGACGTGCCCTTGTCTGGTGCCATTTTCATTGTTTTAACGGAGCCATAATATTAATGTTTTTTAATGTGCCTGCCTTCCGTGGAAGCACCCCCTACAGCAGAGTTTTAATCACAGACAGAAAGGGCAGTCCTGAGGAGCCAAGTCTGTTAGAATGATACATGTATTTATTCAAACCTACAAAGTACGAATTTACTACACTATCAGACAATCTGGAAACTGAACGTAATGCAGAAGTATCCCAACTACCATGACTGAAAGGCATATATGACTTAGATATTAAAAAGGAAAGAGGTTTAAAAAATCCTCATAACTTGCTTTTCTTCCTCCATCATCCTCACCTTCCCAAGAATAGTGTGTGTGGGGGAAACAATCTGCTGGAATTATAATATCTCTGAAGATTATTCTCCTGAGTCACACACAAAAATGGCAATCACATCTGCATTTCATACCGAGATAAATGCATTAAATACACTATTTAATGCAAATGCAGAAGCATTTAATGTTACCTAAGTTCCGATAAACAATATTTCCAAGAAAGCATATTTTCATGAAAATAATTCAGCCTTGCTAGTGGTTATCAGTCACTAATTTTAATAAAAGCAATTTTATTTTCATGTTTATCATATACTTATCATATAAAAATATGTTTATGTTTATCGTATGTTTCATCCAAAAATTTTAAATAATTCACCACTTAGAAAGCTAGCTGTCCTTTGGGACAAATTTGCAAACTGTTGAGAGGAAACATTTGTTTGTTCCATGCTGACTTCATTTATCTTAATACTTACCTATTTTCCAGAAGCAAAAGAGACTTGTAAAACATTTTGGACTTTCCAACTAACTCTTGGTAATTCATGATATTCAGGAATACAATTGATTTCAATTAGCCTCAAACATATCTAGAAAATGCTTTTAAACATCTTTTTACAAAGATTTAGTATCAGAGATCATGGTAAGAAAAGATGAATTTCTGGAAGTTAATAATAGTCTTGAGCCTGATTTATGTATAGTCCTGGGAGCTGCCCTTTGAGATACATTTCTGATTCTTTGCAAATTTCATGTGAATGAAAGAAGATGTATCATTTGTCCAGTGAGTCTGATGGCTCTTTAGTCCTACCCCTTACAGGACAGAAGCTGAGGCTGGCCTTTAAATGAACTTGGTTTTATTGTTTGGAGTGTGCAGAAGCCAAAGACACACCTTCCTTGTGTAAACTTTCTCATTTCTATTGTGTACATCTTCTTAGATAATCCCAGAGTGATCTCTAAGCCCCGACTTGTGTACTTACTCTAGTGATACCCACAGCTTCCATTTCGGAGCCCAGCTATGGCCACATTTACCTGGCACTCTTTTTTCTTTTTTAAGATTTTATTTATTTTTGACAGAGAGAGAGAGTATACAAGCAGGGGAAGCACCAGGCAGAGAGAGGGAGAAGCAGGCTCCCTGCTGAACAGGGACCCCGATGCAGGGCTTGATCCCAGGACTCTGGGATCATGACCTGAGCCGAAGGCAGACGCTTAACGGTCTGAGCCACCCAGGCACCCCTACCTGGCACTCTGAAATGATGTAAATCACTCCCAAGCTACTTTGGAAAAAGAAGGGATAAAGCACTTACAGTTGCTTTTAATACTGTAAAGTAGGGTGAAGATGAAGACCTTTATACCTAAAGGGAAAAAAGATTAGAAAGAAGACACTCATGCCCTTGGCTCCATTCCGTGCGGGAAGTTAAAAAACAATGTTCTTCTCAGCAAGATCAGTCTTTCTCTTTAGTTCGTTCCTATGCCCCAGGTTGGGATGTCTCTCTGTGATTTCACCACTCTCTCTTCTCCCTGGATTGAATATTATTGACTTTTTCCTTTTAGAGAACTTCTAAGTTAGCAGAGTGGGCGAACACTACGTTGTACTCATCACCGTTGTGTGTTGTCTCTTCCCTTTTTCCTCGAGGCTTGGAGCATCACGTATCACAGCTGGTTGACATTTGTGTTGTTGATTTGGTCATGCACCCTTTGGATGATTCGCAACAGAAGAAAATATGCCATGATCAGCTCTCCTTTCATGGTCGTCTATGGAAATCTGTTGCTGATATTACAGTATATATGGAGTTTTGAACTTCCCGAAATTAAAAAGGTCCCAGGATTCTTGGAAAAGAAAGAACCAGGAGAACTTGCCTCAAAGGTAAGTGAATAGGAAAACAAGAAAACAAAACATTGAAGCAAATCTACAATAATCATAATAAGCATATCCAAGCACAGACTTACTTACATGGGTTCCAAATATTCAGTGCTTTACAAAAATGAATAGATTAAAAACTCTAAGAAATAACTTATAATGCTTAGTGGTCTCTATAATTTAAACATGAATAAATATCACACCATGCTTTTAGATTTTATTTAAAATAACAAAGCTTTCCACTGAAAGGAAAAATATAGTCTGCTATATTTTAATGTCAATTACAGTATAGTAGAAATTAGAGAAACAGGAAAATACAGTTGTAAAATGTATCCAAATGTTAGAGGACTTTCTTTGATCTCAGTTTTCAAAACAGGCTGAATGCGTTGCTGTTACAGATAATCACTGATTATTAGTAAAAACATTTTTTCTTCAATTATGTCTTAAAAAACACTCTTAGCAGCAAAAATTAAGTATGACCCTCTTTTTTTTCCTTCTGCAGATTATATGATATGCCTTCAATTTGTAGCAACAAGGTTCATGATCTTTCAGTACTCATTATTTTCATGGTCCATTTTAATAGCTTTTATTTCAGAACATTATATGCCTCAACCTTTCTATTTTGTGGACAGCGTGGCAGACTCTAAACACACATGTCCGTTGTGTTGATGACATTGTGTTAAGACCGTGAAAGCAGTCTCATGTCCTTACTCCATAAGCCTTGAACACCTTTCTCCTCTAGGCAGAGAATCACTCTCTGAAAGGGACATGAATTTACATCACATGAAACCCACCTTTCCCGAGAGCAAGCACCTTTTTTTACAGGTTACCAGACACCCCGTATCCAAGGCAACCAGGCCTGAATGGGGTGCTAGTAGATACCAAGGATTGGTTCTCATCACAGACTTTTTGATGAAGGCTACTGGGGTAAAGGAGAAACTCCTAACAGGTGAATAGTAATGATAGACATTAGATCATAATCCCGTGTTCACAGACCATGGCAACTTCCTTCCTTTCTCTCTCAAACTCCACTCTAGCTGACAGTCCCACAGAATATTTTCACTGACAAGTCACTTTTGTCTCACACTCTTCCCTCTCCTTCTCTCCCCTTAAACACACATCCAAAACTGGGAAGTTAGTCTTTTCTTTATAAAAGAAATTCAAAACCTCACCTTTTGACTACGCAAATCCATTTCAACCTGGCTCGGAATATTGGTGAGCCATCTGAAATGTAGGCCAGCCAACTGGTTGAACTACCTCCTGTCTAATCTAAAATGAACAGCTCTGCGGCGCCTGGCTGGCTCAGTTGTTTAAGCGTCTGCCTTCGGGGGTCCTGGGATCAAGCCCCATGTCCGGCTCCCTGCTCAGTGGGGAATCTGCTTCTCCCTTTCCTTTCCCTCTATCCCTCCTCCTGCTCGTGTTCTCGCTCTCTCTCTCAAAATAAAATAAAATAAAATAAAATAGCTCTTGGGGTTGGGGGACATTTTTGGGGAAATAAATGTATTATTTGTTTAAAAAAAAGCAGTGTTACTCTGGAGAAAATAGGGTCTGCACTTATATTTTAGTGTACCCAGGAATTAAAAAAAAAAAAAATGCAAGGCCTTATCAAGGTTAACAACACAACCTAAGATTATAAAATATCATGGTGACATTTGTCAAAGTACATTATTAAATACACTGCAGAGTACTGAATGGGTCACTGATGGAAAGTGAGAGAAAGAAAGAATATGTCCCGGGTCCTCAGAGGTCTGGCCAGTCTGGGGGAGCCAGACTCAGCTCCTTGGTAGCATCCTTCAGCTGCTAGAATGTGTTCCCCACTCCATCAAACTACATCAACCGCACCTTCCAAACTGGGCTTGTAAATCACCTCTTCCAGGAAAGGTGCCCCATCTGCCCCTGAGTATTCCTAAGCTCATTAGACATGCACTAGAGAAACAGATTTCTCTCCCAAATTGCAGCTATAGTTCAATTTGTTGTGACTCCCAGAAGTTTAATGCCAAGTTTTCAGAAGTGGAGGCACTCTGGTTCTTGACTTCTTAGGCCCTAAACATGTTGTCCCAGACTGACTGGGACTGGTTTATCCTGAAGGCAAAGGAGAAGTGGATATTTATGGGTTGTCAAGTGGGCAGTTAGTCAAAGTAAAATTGACCGGTTCATTTGCCTACTTTTTTTCATGTCTTTGGTAAATATTTATTAAAATCCTACTATGAACCACAGTGAAATGCCACTTCACACTCACCAGGATGGCTAGAATCAAAAAGATAGACAGGGGGCACCTGAGTGGCTCAGTCGGTTAAGTGTCTGCCTTCGGTTCAGGTCATGATCTCAGGGTCCCGGGATTGAGTCCTGCGTCAGGCTCCCTGCTCAGTGGGGAGTCTGCTTCTCCCTCTCCCTGCTCCTTTTCTCCTGCTCACTCTCTCTCAAATAAATAAATAAAATCTTAAAAAAAAAAGTCAGATGATAATAAGTATTAATGAGGACATGGAGAAACTGGAACCCCATACAGTGCTTGGGGGGCATGGAGAATTCTGCAGCCACTTCAGAAAATGGTCTGTCAGTTCCTCCAAAGGTTAAACATAGAACTGCCATTAGACCCAGCAATTCCACTCCTAGGTATTATACCCAAGAGAACTGAAAACCTATGTCCACACAAAGACCTGCGCGTGAGTGTTCATAGCAGTGTTATTCTTAATAACCTCAAAAAAATGTAACAACCTAAAAGCCCATCAGCTGAGAAATGAAATGTTGTCTGTCCATACAATGGAATATTACCAAATAATAAGAAGAAGTGGGGGCCAGCACAGGCTTCAACAGGAACAAGCCTTGAAAACATTATGCCAAATAAAAGAAGCCACCGGCCAAAGAATGTTTAGTAAGTAATTCCACTTACATTAAATGCCCAGATTAGGCAGTCTGTAGAGACAGAAAGTAAATTAGTGGTTGGCCAGGGCTGAGGTGGGCAGGAATGGGGTGACTGTTCTGGGGCTTCTTGTGGGGTGATGAGAATATTCTACAGTTGATCGCAGAGTTGGTCGCACAACTCTGTGACTACTATAAGCCACTGAGTCGCACACTCCAAATGGGTGAATTGTATGGCATCGTAAATTGTATTGCCATGAAGCTAGTATGAAACAACCACTATGTGCCAGGCCCTATATCCCCTGAAGAAGGAGCTCCCCAAAAGTGCCAGGTCCTATATCCCCTGAAGAAGGAGCTCCCCAAAAGCATCAGCTTTTTTTTTTTCCCCTGGCTCTCCGCAAAACCTTAACATACAAGTATGGACACTTAGAACAATTCTTCCTTCAGCTTTGGGAGATGAATGGGATATTAAAGGGTTCTGTTTTCTGGGATGAAATGTTCTTTTTCCCATCCGTGGAATTCTTCATCCCAAGGAACATTGCAGAGTCAACGAGTGTTATGGAAGAAATATGTCTTCCTGTTGCAACTGGGCTTATGTCATAGTCGGGACAGGAAAGCAAGGACTAGCTCCTCCGGGGGGACCAGTTGCCAAAGCTGACTTCGGCCCAGATGGAAGTAGTTTGGGCTGTCAGGACACCTTCCCTGGGCCCCCACACACTGCCGAATGACCTCCTGGCCCTCAAACATGCTTGTTCGTGTCTTCAGCAAAGGGGATTTCAAAGCCAGTGATTTTCAGGTGAAATCCAGTGGCTACCCGACTCTGTCTCATACAGAGAGGCTTATTTATTGTGTTTCCGCTGAAATGTGGAGAAAATATTGTATATGTTGAATTGTATTTACACTTCAAATGGGTGACTTAATTCTTGTTCTGCTAATTCTCTACTTTCAGATACTTTTCACCATTACTTTTTGGCTCCTGCTGAGGCAGCACCTCACCGAGCAAAAAGCTCTTCAAGAAAAGGAAGCTCTTTTATCTGAGATCAAAATCGGAAGTCAGGAAAATGAAGAAAAAGGTAAATTGGTGTGACTAGAGAGTTTTGTGCTCAGCAGAATTAGAGAGAGAGGGCTCCCCACATACATCAGAAAGCCTCTATACTTCAGAGCAGATAAAAGCTGAGCATTAACCTGGAGCGATGCAAAACCAGGGCTCCAGTGGGGCCGAGTTAGTGCGCACATGGGAGCTCACCAGGAGCTTTCAGAAATGAGCTCTCATTCGATCCTCACAAAACTGATTCCCACTTAAGGGAAGAAGAAACAGGTTCAGAGAAGTTAAATGGTTTATCCAAGGTCACACTTTCAGAACCAGGAAACAATCAGAATTTGAAATTGATATAGTCATTTTAATTTGTGTTATTGTCATGGGCAAGGGACTCCTTGTTCATAGGGGATGCGTTCCAAGACCCCAGTGGATGCCTGACGCTGCAGATAGTACTGAACCCTAAAGATACTATGTCATTTCCTGTACCTCCAAGCCTATGATAAAGTTTAATTATAAATTAAGCACAGTAAACCATGAACAACTAATAATAAGATAGAAGAATTATAATAATACATGGTAATAAAAGTTATGTGAATGTGGTCTCACTCTCTCTCAAAATATCTTCTCGTGCTGTACTTGGCCTTCTAGTGATGCTATGAGATAAGAAAAGGCCCGGCGATGAGATGGGGTAAATGACATAGGCAGGTGACATGGCATTAGACTGTTATGGACCTTCTGACCATGTGTCAGGAGGAGGATCATCTGCTTCCAGACCGCTGTTGACCTCGGCAACTAAAATGGTGGAAAGCAAAACCACGGAATGGGGGGGGTGGGGCACTGTACTTAACTTTTCTAGATCCTGCAGTACATAAAGCTGTCATTGGATCCTGGAAATGAAATCAGGTATTGTAAAAAGATGAGAATAAAATATTACCAGGTTCATATCTTTTAAACTGTATTTCACAAAGGTTATGCAACTTGATTATGATTCATTATAAATGCTGCCTTGTTTACTGGAACAGTCCAAAATCATTCAAATCACAGAGTAACACATAAAACATGTACTTCCATGCCCCCCACACAACACCCAGTTGGAGTGTGGCTCCAGGCAGGGGACCAGCTAAGTATAACAGCACAGTCTTCTATTTTGAAGATGATGAGCAAGATATACAAATGGAAGGAGAGGCTGAAGAAAAGGAGGAAGAGGAAGCCAAGGAAGAGAAGCAAGAGAGAAGGAAGGAGGAGGAAGAGGAAGTGGAGGAAGATGACGACCAGGACATCATGAAAGTGCTGGGCAATCTGGTGGTGGCCATGTTCATCAAGTATTGGATCTACGTCTGTGGAGGAATGTTCTTCTTCGTCAGCTTCGAGGGTAAAATTGTGATGTACAAAATCATCTACATGGTGCTCTTTCTGTTCTGTGTGGCCTTGTATCAGGTAGGTAAATCATTGTCCTGTTTTGTTTTGTTTGTTTTTGGTTTTGTTTTGTCTTAAATCCTAGTAGCCGTCCTGGGAATACATTGAGCTTCCTTTGACAGGATTCTAAATGACTGTCATCCCCTGAACAGATTATCTAAAGTGATCAATGCGATTCAAACATTATATATTAAGAAGGCCTAAAAGGGGAAATGACTATCTTCAGCTTATTCATTATTTTAAAATTTGGGGCTCTTAAAAAGTAAAAAAACAAAAAAGTTCATGAGCTTTTCAAAACTTCTTGATAAAAAAAAAAAAAAAACCTGTATAATTAAATTCATTTTTGAATAGTCAGTGAAGAACAGTGGCCGGATAATCTAAAATATGGGTTGATGCCCAGTTCACTTGTACTTCAGACTTTAGAATCAGGAAACTGTGTGTGCATGTATACATATATATATATATGTGCATAATGCATCAACTGCTTTAGTATTTTATTCATTAGAATTTATAAAAGATTCTACTAAAATGAGTTAGCCTCTCCACCAATTCAGTCTTAACTTCTAGAAAAATTGTTGCTCAGGGATAGAAACAAGTGCAACAGGACACTCTTCATGCAGGCAACCAACAGGACAAATAAAGCAACTACATTCATTCACCTGTAGAGATAAAAATATCTCAACCAAAACTGATGAAGTTTTGAAATACTTTTAAATAGTGGAATTTCAAAACGGAGGCAGTTTTCTCCCAACAATAACTACCATGGTGGCAACATCTTCCATATCATTCCTTGAACACCTCCTATAGACAAGCTTATAAATAGGATGATTTTATCCTCTTTCCAGCTCTCAAAGTAGGTACTTACAGAGGGGGAAACAGAAGCTCAGAATGGTCCAGCGACTTACCCCAAGACGAAGTTAGCAACTCTCAGTACTGAGATTCCAATCCAGATCCAGCGGACTCTATGAGGAATAGAGCCTCAAAAACAAAAAATGAAATAGATTTGATTTTCGAGTACTTGTCAATATCATCACCTGTCACACTTGAATAAATGAGGTGCTTTTGTAAGGTTTTTTTTTAAATCAATTCTTTTTTCATTTGTTTTTCAACATCTGATTCACAGGTGCACTATGAATGGTGGAGGCGAATCCTAAAGTACTTTTGGATGTCTGTGGTTATTTACACTATGCTGGTGCTTATCTTTATCTACACATATCAGTTTGAGAACTTCCCAGGACTGTGGCAAAACATGACTGGATTAAAAAAAGAAAAGTAAGCAATTTGGTGTAAAATGGACTATGAAAGGGACAAACAGGATGAAGAGTTGCATGCATATTGTTCAAACATCTTGAGGGGAGGTTTTCGTAAAACATGATGTCATCAGTGTCTATAAGTTCCTTGAGAACAGGTCAGTCTGTGGTCTCTCTGCCGAGCCCCGGGCTTGACACGTAGAGTACGTACTTAATGAATATTGACTGAAAAGTGCATTTTGGGCCCCATTTTAATGAAATAATGTTTTTAAATGTCTGCCGCACATGAAATACCTGCTTAGTCCTTCGCCGGTCAGGCCTTCTACTTTCCAAGTTGAAGCTCAGTTCAGCAGTTCAGTTGATTCATATGCTTATAACATAAAGCAGCCGCCTCTCCTCATTTATGGAGCTGGTGCAAAGATTCTAAGGAGTGCTTGATGCCATAGAAAAAGTGCTAGTAGACTAATGACGAGGAAATAATTGTTCATGTGCGTGTGATAGATCTGTGCATGCACTGTAGCCTTTTCGGATTTGCTGCTGTAAACTTCTGAAATGAGTTACCAGAACTGGGCACAGAGCTGAATGAATATACTGAGGTGGCTAAGAGAAAAGCTTAACAGGAAAGCTCGCCATGTAGTTAGGCTGACACGTCTTTAACATTTATTTAACAAATATTTATCAAACGCCTCCCAGGTGCCAGACAGTGACTCTGCCTGGGGACACATCAGGAAGCAGGACAGACAGAGTCTAAGCACTGCAGAGTTTACATTCCAGTGGAGGAGACAAAAAACAAAAACAAAAAACCCTGCTTAATTGTGCAAAAAGATTAATTACAAATTGTGGCAAGTCTGTGAAGGACATAAACAAGAGGCTGAGGCAGTGAACAGTGGGGGATACAGACTATAAATGGAGTGGTCAGGGCAGGCTTCCCTGAGGAGGTGCCATTTAAACTCCACCTGAAGGGCTTAAGAAAAGTGTGCGAGTTGGGAGCTGAGATGCAGAAAAGCATCCCAGCAGCAAATGTGAAGATCCTGAGACAAGACTGAGTTTTGCATGAACGAGGAAGCAGAGGATGGTTCGGCTGCCAGGAGCAAGGGGGACAGTGGACAGAGCAGAGGTGGAGAATGCAGCCAGGCACGCAGGATGTGCATGGCTCGTAGGTAGTGGTGTTGGCATTTTATTCTTGGTGAAATTTTTAAGTCTTTAAGGAACTCTTGGTGGGCTGAAAACAAGTGCTGTCAGAGGGTGAGAGTAGAAACCACAGGGGGGGTTAGCCAGCAACAGCAGGGGTCCTGTGAGAAATGATGGTGGTTTCATCTAGAGTAGGTGGTGCAGAGATGGATAACAGAAGTGGGCAGCTTCAAGAGATGTCTAGGAGGCTGAAAGAAATGTGAATGAATGAGATGTGAAGGCAGAGAAAGACAGACTTCCTGATTCCAGAATGTGGCACAGGGTAGACGGTGGTACCAGGGAAGACTCAAGTGGGGGGCCAGGGGTGGAGAATAGCATGGCTGAGCAAAACTGGGAAACCAAGAACACTGTTTGGAAGACACTCAATATGAAATAACTGGGGGAAAAAAAAAACCCAACAACTTCTGGTAGATATTTGGACACGAGAGTCCATGGGAGAAGCCTGAGTTGTAAATGCACGTTTGAGTCATTGGTGTTAAGATGGTGTATAAATCCCTGGGACTTGTGAGATAACCTAGGGAAAAATAAGCTGGAGAAGAGACTCAACACTGAAGTCTGGGGCTATTTCACATCCGGAGGTCCAATAAAAAAGGAGGAGACAGTGACAGAAGAGAAAAACCAGGCCAGTGTGGCGGCACCAAGACCAGAATTGTTTCAAGAAGAACTAGAGGCAGAATTAAAGATAGAGAAGCAGCCACTGAATTTGACAATATTGAGGTTGTTACTGACCGCTGGAAGAGTAGGTCAGTTGGATTGATGGAGACAAAAACCAAAGCAAATGCACGGAGCTGGTGCAAAGATTCTAAGCAAATGAGAGAGGGTTGCAAGAAATGGTGTAACAGGACAGTGAAGGACTATGATACGATTTACAGCAAAAAGAATATGCGCTCATTGCCTAAGAAAGGCACTTGCTTTTTGTTTCATTTCATTTTCTTTTGTTTTACAGGCTCGAGGATCTTGGCTTAAAACAGTTTACTGTGGCAGAACTATTCACTCGCATATTCATCCCAACTTCCTTTCTGCTGGTGTGCATTTTACACCTTCACTACTTCCATGATCGGTTCCTGGAGCTCACAGACCTGAAGTCCATTCCCAGCAAGGAAGACAGCGCCATCTACAGGTGAGAGCTTGCAAGAAGCACGAGCCTCTTGCTCAGGGCGCAACCACTTCAATTCCCCACTTCATTTTTTTTCATTTATTACACTTATTTTTATTTATATTTCTGTAATAGAAATACATGTATATTAATATATGAATATAATGTATAAAATAAGCATAATATGTAACATATACGATATATAATATATTAGAATACATATAATATATATAAACATATATTTATATATCTGCTATATAAATATAGCAAAAAATGTGCCATGATTAGACCCTTAGAGTTTAGAAAGATAATTGTCATTATTGTAGAGAGTGCTGGGCCCCCTGCAGGAAGCCAATAACTAACCTTAGAGTTTCAACCTTAAGCTTTCCATGGGTACCCACCTGTGAGTGAAAAAAAGAAATGAGAAGAAAATGTAGAGTATTTTATGACAGCTTCTGAAACAATACATAGTGACTCATGACTGGTTAATGCAAAGTGTTCTTGATCGTCACGTGAGTAGATTTAAAATAGCTGTGCAGACACAAATACTTGAGAGTTGGCGATGGATATTTTGTGTCTGGGCCATGATGTGTTTTTAGAACATTAAGGAAATCTGGCTGATTCAGAGGATGAGTTTTCTGTTGTGCTAACAACCAGTGAAGAAGCAAGAGTGTACCAAAATGTGATGTGCAGAATTTTTCCTTCCACTTTGGAAATGAAGAACTTCTGCTAAAAGGATAGAAAGTGCAGTCTGCTAGTAATCAGCATAACATGTAAGGAACTAAAGTGAAGACAGTGTTTGCTTTTATCAGCTCTCTGTTGTCTTCTCATCTATAAATATATAAAATGCTTACAAGCAACAGATGAGGTATGTCTTCCCGGGCCCCTCTGTGTTGCAACCACAATGGTTTTATCACAAATTTCAGAGTCGGGTCCCTTACAGGGAAATTTCAAGCATTCTTCTAATGAACGTTCATACTGATTTCTCTCTTTGCTTCAGATTTAGCTTATGATTCATTTCCTGGAAAAACTCTTGTTAAGCAACCAAGGAAGCAAAGGGCTGTATGGAGGGAGTGGAGATGCCAGCCGACAATCTGCCCTTTAGTCCTTTTGACTCGCTCTGAACTCTTTTTCAAGGGAAACAATGAGCACAGCAAAAGAAGATGAAGTAGTATTTCATCACGCACAGTTTTATGAACTACCAAATGTTCGGTTTTCTGCTATACTAGGGACTGGAGTCGTAGATAACTCCAAGACTCTTTTATTTGGTGATGAAAACCATTTTATAATCTCTATCTATTTATTGATGGCCAGCAGATTTCTTTTCCGTTTTGTGTTTTTTGGACCACAGTTTACATTTCCTTTTTATTCTGAGTATGCTCCAGATGCCTTTCAGTCTGTGAATGGCTCCCAACCAGTAGAATCCAGAGTTATCAGGCATTTATTTCTTATTCTGTCAAGGCACCATCTATAAGCAAGCTCAGCTAAAACCTGTCTCCTCCCAAAGCCCCACCAGGGAGAGGACACGGATGGGGTCAGTGGCTACCCTCAGTGATAACCAAATATTAGGAAAAATAAGGTAGTTATTAGAAGTCTGGGAGCCCCCTAAGAGAGATTACTTCTAGGCAAACTTGTTAGCAAAAGAAGTTCACCCCAAGATTAAAAGCTTACAAACACAGTGCCCTCATAGGAAAATGAGATTTATCAATAATTAGTAGAAGTATTTTTGAGGACTTTTTTGACATTGCTTGTGAATACTGGGGATAAAATTAGTATTTGATGTTTACCTCTGACAAGGTAACATGCTTTATTTCATTATAACCCACGCCATTTGTTCAAAAAGTCATATTCAATAATCAAGAAAAACCTGTTGGTAAGCAAAGTATATTTATATGTTTGTAAAAGAAATGATTGGCAATTGCTAATGATGCCTTTAATTTTTTTTCTTCTAAATGCCTTTCTTCCCTTGGATCTCTATTTTTCTCCTCATGCCAAGTTCCTCCAGGATGTAGAGGAACAATCAGATAGAGATATAGGTTACAGTTTTCCAGGAAAATAGAGATTTTCAGGACCACAGTTTTGTAGGAGACCATGCAGCTCAACAAAGATTGTACCAGCCCAAAAGAATCACAATTTTTGAGACCTAGGGTATGTGAAAATGGAATTTGTTCCTCAGAGTTCCCTGGAAGCATGTAGAACATTATTTAATTATGTAGGTTCTGGGGAAGGACTACAGTCTCATGTGGAGATGTTTTCTCCCTGTTTCCATGGCTGTTCCACTCACAGCCCTCACCCTCCAAGCCATGGCAAGAGAAGAAAGAAGATCTAAATGATCTGTAGCCATTTGAGGTCATTGCTTGCCTTCCTCATGGCCATGTCTTAGCCCCGAGCATGCCCTGAGCAATTTTCTACCAAGGAAATGTAGAGTGATGAGAGAGTATACAAGGCCAGCTACCGAAAGAGGTTAGGAACATGGGATTTCATTTTTAGTTCTTCGAAAAACAGTTTTCTAAGACCTTATAGAGTTCAAGGTTCGGTTCAAATTCAAGTTAGGTGTTTTGGGATTTCCTGTAACAGTTTAATATAAAAGTCCCCAAATTTTAACTTTGAGTGTAGGATATATATCCCATCATTTTAAGCAACTTGTTCCCATCCTGGTATTTTCCTTACTTACAATATTTTTTTGTCCCTGGAGCCCTTAATAAGTGACCACATTAAGATCAAAACGAGGAAGAGAAAGAAGTATTTACAGAGTTGGGATTGACTGTCATGCTTTGCCTTCTCTGCTCCTGCCTCCTTTGTAGATGTTTTACAAAATCTGGCCCACAAATTGGGAATAATTGATTCATTGTATTCCATACACTGATTCTAGTACTGTTGCTTCTGTAAATATCCAGCTGTTCTTTTCCTGTTTTGTCCACTGTTTGTGTGTGCTTTGTTTTTGTGCACACATAGGTCGTGTGGGCAAATGTCACTAGTGTCTGAAGAAGAATTTATTGTGTTTAACCTTAGAGAACTGATAAAGTTAGCATTATGAAAAAGTTTTGATATGCATGATAATAGAAGAAACTATTATTATTTCTAAGCAGGTATTCTCAGGAATATTATTTCACTTATATATTGATAAAATGTATAATATTAGAATATAACTACAGTCTATGATAACATATATATTTAATAATAATGTGTGAAATAGCCATTGTGTAATTAAATATCCATCCCTGCAATTTGTCCATACTTTCTTTTAGAACATGCATATAGAAACAAAATGACTTTGTTTAACTTCAGTCTTAGAAAACCTAGGGAATACTATGTTGCATATGGTTACTTAGTAGGATTTCTTTTTTTTTTTAATTTGGGGGAAAGAGCAAGAATTCATCTTTTAGATTGTCTTTTACTTGATAACTGTGCTCTGAAAATTGAAACATTACCAATTTTTAGTAAAGTGTGTGAGAGGGGGAGGGACGAGAAGAATGGAGCAACTTGTTCCCTTCAAGCATTTTTCCTGACTAATCTAACTTCACATTGCTCCTGACCCTTGCTGCCCTGACTCGTTGTCGTGCATGGAAGTATCAATGAGCACACACCTGAGGACTTAAAGCTTGCAAGACAGTCTACCTTTTTGCTCTCTAACAATCTCCTCTTTCTCTCTCCCACCTGTCTCCTCATCTCCTTGTGCTTCCATCTCTCACCTCGTAGCCATGCCAAAGTCAATGGGCGCGTATATCTAATAATAAATAGGTGGGTACCTCAATGTTTTCTCTCTTGTTTTGTTTTTTTTTTTTAACGGTCTCTTGGTGTGTTAAACACTTCACTGTTTTGTAAACAAAAAATGATGTCATCAGATAGTGGACAGTGGTCTTCAGGTATGCTCATGGATGTATTTTGCCAACCAAACCATTTCGTGTTTATCCTGAATGGTGCTGCAAGTGGATTCGGAGGTTGCCAAGGGTCTTCAGCTGGTGCTCAACCTTTGGTCTTGGTTCAAATGGATGCCCTGTTAATTTTATTCTTTGGTAAATTAGTTCAACGCTTGCCTGAGAGCTTATTGCCCTTTTGAACACATCACCCAGAGCTCAGCTCAAGAACCACCTCCTCCACAAACCTGCGCACAAATGCCAACTTTCCCCGCTACAAGTATTCTGCCCTTCCTCTGAATTTCCACAGCCCACTTTATCATTGCTGCCTTCTGACACTCTGTCTGCCTGCCTGTCTTATTCCCTTGCCAGGGGCGTCAGCTCCTCAGGCCTGGAGTCTTTGTATAATTCACCACGTGTCCACTTATCACCTACCTCAGGGCCTCACCCATCTGTTGACCCTCGGTGGATATTTCCTGAATGAAGTGATAATAGTTACAACAATATATGGTTAAAAGAAAATTAAGACATTGGTTTCTTCAAGTATACCTCGACTTGAAAGACCAGCATATTGAAGAAAGATCTTTTACGTCACCAGATTTCACAAAAGATGCAGAGATGGGCACTGGGACAGGGCCCTACCTTAGAGCCCTGTCACCCAGCTGGGGAGATAAAACATGCAGATGACCACACATAATAAAGAGTAAGTTTTGATAAGTGTTGTTTGCAGAGTTATCCTCAACTTCCCTAAGAGTACAGAGAAAAGATCCTTTGGGATCTAATTTCCTAAAGCTATCCTGACTTCGTTAAATAGGTGAATTAAAATATCCACTCCTAAGCCAGTAATTTAGTTCATAGAAACATGTATTTTGCAATAAATCCAATTAGCAGAATAACTCTTTGAAAGATCTGTTGGTTTTCTATTCCATTCGCTTTTCTCTTAAGTAAAATCCCAAGGCAGACAACCAAATAGCAAAGCCTGGGAGCCAAAACTTCTAGAAAGAAGTGTGAAAAATTAGTGCATCACTGTGCAGATCACTGAAGAAGGAGAGATGAAGACTGGCTGGTTCCTTTGGGAGCCAGTTTTGTTGACAACCTGAGAGAGAAGAGTCAACCTCAGGTTTTTAGCTGATAGGCAGAGAAGTAAGATAAAGACTCTAGCTGGAC